CAGCCGCCTGGAGGAAACCTGGACGACTCTAAGAAGGAACTTCACACAGACCGCCATCAGCTACGAGAAAATACTCAAACCTTTCTACAAGAACCTGTACGAGGGCACAGGTACTGAACACACACAAACAGAGACACACACACACACACACACACACACACACACACACACACACACACACACACACACACACATGCAGATACTTTAATCCTACATTCATGCAGTATTGATTGGGAGTCTGAAACAGCTCCAGCATCGAATCAATAAAAATGTATAACAAAAAACAGCAATTGGAAATAATCAGGCCGAGAAGTCACATCCAAGAAAAGGTCAAATTGACTTTTCTTACTGTGAAGTTTAACACCAGACTGTTTCAAAAACAAGCCATTTATTGGACTTTTTAGATCTGTAGTAACTTCAGGAAACAGTTTTCTGTCTGAAAAAGTGATTTAGATAAAATCCTCGTTCTGCTCCTGCAGCTTCTGCCCCTCCGGTTGTCTGCGTCCCGCTCCTGCTGCCCCTCCTCACACTGATGGAGCGCCCGTCGATCACACCAGAGGGGGTGGAGCTCTGGGAGACCAGCGACCAGGGCTGTGACATCATGCTGCGCCACCTGGAGGCTGCACGCGACGTAGCACACAGCGCACAGAGCTACACAAAAAACGCACAGAAGCTCTTACACGGTAAAATAAGAGTTTAAGTCAGCAGCATTTTTTCTTTTAGTTTCTCATCATCATAATTTATTTAAACTGTGTTTCTGTTTTTTTTTTTTTTAGAGTTTCAGAGCGACGACGACCTGCTGGAGGTGTTCAAAACAGACTTTCAGCTGCGGCTGCTGTGGGGGAGCCGAGGAGCTTCAGTCAACCAATCAGATCGCTACAACAAATTCAACCTCATTCTCACTGCGTTGTCACGGAAACTGGAGCCTCCGCCCACGACACAAACCGTAATCTGAACAGAAACAAAACGTGGTGAATGGATGAAGAGAAACAAAAGCTCCTTTCACACACAAACTCCTGACATCTTCTCAATAATTTCAGGACATAACGGAAAAGATTTCTGTTTCTGAGTTGGTCATAAATGCACAACACCTGGATGATGTCTGAAAAGCTTCAGGAGTGCAAAGCATGTGTGAAAGGTGCTAAACGTCAACGAGGAAAAACTGCAATAAGTGATCAGATACCAAGCAGATTCCTGAGGAAGAGCTGAGGAACATGTTTAAAAATCATATCTTATCCAATATATTCTGCACTCCTGCAGCCGCGTTTTCTCCTTTTAATAGTTTAAAACGTCACAAGGATTGAAGGTGTTTTTCTTCTCCAGTCTTAAGTGTGTTCAGGATTCACAGGATCAGCTTCCATCAGCCTGAAACTTAAGTTTATTTAAATACTTCTACAATTCACTTCGCAGACGATTTTATGCAGAGAGTAAGAACAACACAAGTAAGGATCTAGAGAGGAGGAAACAACGTCAGTAAGTGCAAACGATCAGCTTTAAGTCCGACTGGACACACAGGTGCTGACAGGAAGTGACCAGAGGCAAAGCACAACATTGTCAGCTGCTCTTGTCTTAACATCATTGTCACTATCAAACAAAAACCATCATCATCATCATCAGAGTCATCATCATCATCATCAGAGTCATCATCATCATCATTAAGGTCGTAGGTGTTCATACAGAGCTGGGTCTTTAGCTTTTTCTTAAAGATGCAAAGGGACTCTGCAGATCCAATGGATTTTGTAAGTTCGTTCCACCACCGGGGGGCGACAGAGGAGAAGGTTGGATCAGAAGCCTTTCATTGGCAGAGCGTATTGGGCGGGAGGGAGTGCAGACCTGGATTATAGAGTTTAGGTAAAGAGGAGCCGTTTTTGTCTCTGTTTTGTAAGCGAGCAGCAGAGTTTTAAATTTGATGCGAGCAGTAACTGGGAGCCAGTGGAGAGAGATGAACAGCAGAGTGACATGTGCTCTTTTGGGTAGGCTGAAGAAAATTGCACAACTGAGTCGATATCATAAATCTTGACTTTACAAAGTCTTCAGAAGAAACAGAATCTACATCTTGTGACACATCCGACTGTGACATGTCAGGAAATCCTCTTATCGAACTTTATAAAAGAAGGATATTTAACAACAAAGTCTGCGTCTGTGTACATAATCTGAAGAGAAACAACTTGTGAATATACGTTCAAAAGAGGATACAGGTCCTTCCTACCTGGAGGTTTTTTGGCTTCATTTATCTCATTGTGATCTGTGTTACAAAATCGAATAGGCTGCTTCTTTAAAGGTTACATATTTTACTCCTTCTCAACCAGTTTCAATAAGTCTCAGAGCTCTCCAAAACATATGTGTGAAGTTTCTTGTTCTAAATCCACTCTGATCCTGTATTTGATCATGCCTATAAACCCCTCTATTTCAGCCCTGCTCAGAACAGGCTGTTTCTGTGTCTGTAGCTTTAAATGCAAATCAGCTGTGTCTGACCACGCCCCCTCTCTGGAAGGGCTTGGGTGTACTTGGGCTTTCTTGCACCATGCTCTATTGTTTACAGTGAGAAGGCAGACTCAGAGGGCAGAACAAACACCTAGCTGTGGGAATGTCACCCGCCTGGGGGAGGGGTTACTGCCCTTTGTGATGTCATGAAGGGATAATCTCCAAACGGCCTGTTTGAGCACACATTTTCTGAAAAAGTGGAGCAGGCAGAAGACGGAGAGGATGGATGTATAATTTGGGGGTTTGTAGACATACTAGGATTTTGCATATGTGACCTTTAAAAAGCAATACAAAGTCCAGAGACTGTTAAGATAAAGATGTTACATATATCAAATGATTTAATGTTGATCAAGTTTTCCACCAATCTTTCTGTCACTGTGTTCACATTGGAGCAGGAGATCAGACTTGTACTTTCTGTTCACGACTAAATGTAGCTTAAAGTGTTTTTTCTTTAACAGATGGAAATATTTTTGTTTCTGCTTAAAATTAAGCGGTTTAAAATATATATAAGTATATATATTAATGTGCCAGAGACTAAAGTTGTACATATTTGAAACATTAGCATGTCAATAATAGACTGTACATATTCTCTGTAGAGGACTGACTGTAAAAAGATTGATTTTATTATGTTTATATAATGATGAACTACTGTGGTTTAAGATTAAATAAATATGCTGTAAAGTATGTGAACTATTGTTGTGAACGTCTACATTTTTCTTTAAATGAATAATCAAAATATCAGCAAATTGCATCCTTGTAAATATGCCGTAAGTAGCACAAAAGCCACATTTCCTCCATAGTCCTGAAGCAGGTGGTGACAAAAAAACATAAAACACATTTACGATCACAGGACAGACTACAGGATGGCAAAAAGAAGAACTCACTGATCATTTTACAAACAAAAAGGACACACTTGTCACATAAGAAATAACAGATCTTCATACAGCTGATTAAAAATGCAGGATGACCCTGAAGTGTGTCATTACCCAAAGACACCACACGAGGGTGCCAGTGCCCATCCTTCATGAGATTATTCTAGAAAATATTTCCTAACGTCAACACCGGGTCCGCAAGGGGGTTGGAGCTAATCCCAGCTGTCATTGGGCGAGAGGCGGGGTTACACCCTGGACTCTTTGTCAGTCAATCACAGGCTGACATACAGAGACAGACAACCAGCCACACTCACATTTACACCTACGGAGCAACTTGGGGTTAAGTGTCTTGCTCAAGGACACAGCGGACATGTGGCCACAGGAGCTGGGGATCGAACCCCTGACCTTCCAAGTTGAGAGGTGACCGACTCTACCCACTGAGCTACAGCCGCTCACGTAGCCTCTTCTGATTAAGCCTTTCTGGATATTCTGATCTTCATCTAGTGTAACGGGCCTTCTATGTAAACAGAACATTTGTTAGTAAGCTGAGTTTGCAACAACTCTTTCCTTTAAAAGTCATCGCTGAGTGGTGAACAACTGGATATCCAAGTACCCAAAGCTGCACACAGATTATAAATAACTAATTTATTGGAAAATTGACAATTATCTAAACAGATTTCAACATACAAACCTAGTGATTGTTTAACCTTAAACCACATGTTTACATCCTCAATTCTCGGATTCCTGATCCGTAAAATTGTACACACAAAAAAAACAAATCCCACTCCACATTTCATTGCTGCTTATTTTATTAGAACAATATCTCAGAGGAAAGAAAAAAAACCATTATGCTCACAAAGTGTCTGACAACATTCAAAGTAAAAAGATGTGCACAACATTATGGGGAGGGAAGAAGTACTGCCATTGGTTATTATTCTTACAACATATACAACATGGTAAAAACACACGACTTTACATGATGTGATGGTTGAACTCACGCTGTACCTGCTCATGGTTTTATTCACTGTGATTTCAAACGGTTTGTCTCCAGTTTAACAGCTGGAGAACATCTGTACATGTTTGTTAGAAGAGTTTTTGTTTCCCCACAGGACGCACATGATGATCAGAGTATTTCAAAATGGGAGGAATGTAGAAGATGTCTTTTTTTTCTTCTTTTGCTGGTTGGTCTCTATGAGAACTCACAGCAAACTTTCAGATCTGCAATCTCAAAGATGAATTGTATGTTTTTTTTTTTTTTTTGCATAATATTCATGATTACAGCACAGTGGCTTTAAATACTCAGCTCACAGTTTTTTACATGAATATTAATATATACAGGAACTGAATCAAACATTTAAGTGAGTTTTAAAAGCCTGTTTGTTAGTACTGACATCATTTACATTTAATTAAAGGGACATTACACTCCAAATACGCTGACCTTCAGAAGGAAAATCAGATGGAAAAATGGAAGAATTGGAGTTAACCGTCTGCAAAGTGTCCGTAATAAAAGCCCTGCGAGGATACTGACAAAAACCTCAAACCTCATCAGCATCTCCACTGCCTTACTCCTTACTTACGGGACTAAAATACTCGCAGGTTTCAGCTCCTTTAAAGAAGAATGTGCTGCATTTTACCCATAAATACAGAAGAAATCTAGAATATTGTCTGTAAATGTCTCTTTGAGTCATGACTGTCTACAATGAGGGAGAAGCTCGAGTCCCGCTGGCTGTGTTGTTGTCAGAGCCGTGTTTACATGGACGGTACGGCCTTGTGTATAAAAGCTGTTTTAGTCAAGGACTAGAGAAAGAAGAAGAACATACTCACTGATTATTTGGATGTCATGTAAGTGTGTTTAGATCTCGGTCATTCTGTGTCAATTTATGTGCAATATGAAGCTACGGGCTAACTAAAGCGTGCTAACATTAGGATGCTAACACATCAATGCAGGACACAGGCGATTACAGCTCGAGCAAAGGACAATTTTGTCGGCTGCTTTGAGGTGTTGCTTGGGGTTGGAGGTGTGTCGCAGGAGGAGAACGGAGGCTTCAGAATAACGGAGTAGTCACCAAACAGCAGTTTGTTTTGGTTTCATGCTGGAGCTCAATGGCGACATCTACTGGATCAAAAAGTTGCACATTCTTCCTTTAATGTGAGATTTGCATTTTATATGATAGGGTTGATAAAAATCTTTGGGTTTGGAATATTTGTTGAAGGAAACTTGCATTGGAAGACAGAAAACCTTTGATAGGCATTATTTGCTGTTTTTTAAATTTTATTCTTATGTTAAGTCAAATATAAACAATAAACTGATAATGCAAAAACACCAAAAGCCCTAAGTGTTTCAATTTCTTAAGAGCTCAAGAAAACCACTGAGATTAACTCACTGTCAGGAAAATCAGGTTTTTGTTATCCTGATTTAACGAGATAAATAAAACATCTCTCAGGGCTTCTGTTAAAAAACAATTAGATGCAGGTGTAATGGATTAAAAACAGATTTCTAATTCAGTCTAATGTATGATACTTAACCCCTTGAATCTCTTATTACAGTTACATTTAGTTCGCAGAACTAAAGCAACCTGTCTGAATAACCACATCGTCAGAAAAGCATCGATTGATCTGTGTACACGTTTACAAGTATCATCATGAAAAGCAAAAACTGCAGAAACTTAAAGGTCACATATTACACTTCACCATGTTTCTCTAATACTAATGTGTGTCCCTATAGTCTGTCTAGAAACCCCCCAATTATGAGAAAAGTCTGTCTTTTGCTTGCTCCACTTTTCAGAAAATGTCTGCGCAAACAGGCCATTTGGAGATTTTCCCTTCATGACATCACAAAAGGGCAGTAGCCCCTCCCCCAGGTGGGTGACACTCCCCAGCTAGGTTTTGTTCTGCCCTCTGAGTCTGCCTTCTCACCGTAAACAATAGGACATGGAGTGAGAAAGACCGAGACACCAAAGCCCTTCCAGAGAGGGGGGCTTGGTCAGACACATTCCATTTACATATTTAAAGCTACAGACACAGAAACAGCCTGTTCTGAGCAGGGCTGAAATAGAGGGGTTTATAGGCATGTTCAAATACAGGATCAGAGTGGATTTAGAACAAGAAACTTCACAGACATGTTTTGGGGAGCTCTGGGACTTATTTAAACTGGTTGAAGAGGAGGAGAATATGTGACCTTTAAATCTGGGCTTTTTTGCATCCCCAAATAAAATTAACCAAATTGATATGGAGTGAGTATAAAAAATTTGGCTGGATATTTCAGGAGATATTCTTTTAGCAGAGATTGTTTTTGAGAATACGGATTCAAAGCTCACACGTCTGAAGGTGATTTTTTCCGCAGTCTTCTCCGTCACACCTGTCACCTTCAACTCTTTGATGTAGAGTAAATATGAATGCTAGCTTAGGTAAGTTCATTTAAAGATTGAAATCAGAGGGTCCAAAAGCAATAAAAAAAAATACTTTCTCGTTCTTTTAATCTGCATTAAGGGAAGCACAAGTCAGTTAATGTTAAAAAATCTTTCCACAATTTTCTGGTGCAAAACGATGGCCAACAGAAGAAGAAAGGTGGGGCATCGTGGTTAGTTCAAGTAACAACACCTACAGCATCATTCTGTACATTTCACAGCTTCTTCTTAGAAACACAGACACAGCAAAGGTGCTGCCACCTGCTGTTTGGATCTACAAACGCAGAGTCATTAGTGGCATTTTTTTTTTTGTCTTAAATAGCATGAAAATGAAGTCTAGCCTTGACTTGAGATGTGTGGTTCTGCTCGTCTACTGAAGAAAAAGAGTGAACAGTTCAAAAACAAACACCAGAGAGACACAGACGTAGAAAATCATGCTAAAACGAGCAGGTCTGTGCTCATCAAGAGTTTACAAAAAAAACAGTATAAAAAGGATTTTAAGAGAGAATTTCTGGAGCTGTTTTTTTTTTCCTTTCTTCTTTTTGTCACATTCGTAAAGTTCACACCTCTTCTCAGCCGACCACACACACCTTCATTCATTCAATCAATCAATCCGATTCAAATGCTGTAGTACTTCAGGGCAAAGTGCGTCAGTTCAATTCAAACCTTGTGACAATCAAACAAACCTTAAAAACAATCACCATGGAAACACATTCAGCATTACATTAAGATGTTAATATGTACAAATCATTCGATGGTAATAACCAACAACATGTAACACACACACACATGTACAGCTACATCCCCAGAAAAGTTGGGACGTTGAGTAACATGTAAATAAAAGGGGTGAAGATGTCCTAGCGGTTACGCTGTACCCCATGTACGGAGGAATTAGCCCTTCAAGCCGACGGCCCGGGTTAGAATCCGACCTGCAGCTACTTCCCTGCATGTCATTCCTCACTCTCTATCCACTGTCCTATTTAAAAAGGCATAAAAAATATATACATTTACATTTTACACAATGTCCCAACTTATTTGGAAATGGGTTCTTAACCACATTTGCACGCATATGGAAAGTCAAATACACAGACGTGGTTTTTGTCCTGTTTGGCTTTCCGTACCTGCGAGTACATGTAGGTGATACATGCAAGCGTGTGTCGTCACATTCACAATAACAACTGATTAAAATCGGAGAAAAACGTATTCATGTAAGATGTAGAGTCCTTTTAAAAGGGCTGGTAGAGTGGCTGATGGAAAATGTAGTCACACAGACAAATCCTGACATGTTTGGAATAATCCCTCCACAGTAAAACGACGTGATTTTTTTAAGGCAGAGTCTGAAGTTCCTCTTCATGTTTGGTGTTGTTGATTAAAGCGGGGTCAGTCCTGCTCAGCGCTGAGCTGGTGTTTGATGAGGGAAGGTCTCCATCTGCTGGTTGACTGGTGGAATCACAGCCAAGGAAAAAGAGGAGAGGAAGGTGGGGACAGAAAGAGTGGTAGAGAGGTCCTGCTTTTCTGCTCTGATTTTACCCAGAAGGCTGTTTGGGAAACATTCAACGCACAGAAATGAAATCATACTCATGCTGGACTTTTTTATTAAACACATTCACCATGACATTCAACACAAAACTCACACCCACAGAAGCACACACACTTTGTAGTTAAAGACACCTGATCATGTTTGGGACACGTTAAGGACATGCGACTGTGAGACGGTGAGGGCAGGCATGAGGAGCAGAGTGGCTCAGGCAGGCAGGCAGGCAGACATCGCCAACGGAGCACAGATGATGATGATGATGATGACAGGAATGAGTTGGAGCAGAGCAACAATGATTTTGTTAGTAGCAAGAACCGTAACTGACCCTAAAAAAAAAATGTGATGATGTCCTGAGTTTTAAATCGAATGGTTGAGCAAAAGTTTATTTTAGGGAATTTTAACACACGTTCCTCTTTTCTTTTCTGCCTCTTCTGCTAGTTTAAAAAAGTCAAACTTTAGCAGCTGGATGCAGAGAAGACGAGAGTGTCTGAAGAGTTCTTAAAGGCTGCATTAACTAGGAGAAGCTCCTGCAGGTGCGGGTTGGACTTCTCCAAATTGAGAGATATTAATGCGTGATTTTGGAGTTATCGAGATGATCTACTCTCCTGCTAGACTCTCCTCAAAACTCTTACCTAGTATCCCAGAGTGCTTTGCTGATTAAGGATGAGTGAGCATGCAGACGTGCAAACCTGCCCCCCACCCGACTTCATTTCCCACTTAGTCCACTCATTACTCTCTTTCTTTCTTTCTTTGTCACCACCCCCACCACCAATAATCAGCCTTCGGCGTGAGAGCCCTCCACCAGCCAATCAAATCGCCCGGCCACCCTGCAGCCCTCAGGAACCTGCGGTCACATAGAGGAGGAGAGAGCAAGTTACTACAAGATGCAGAGGAACAAACATTGTTGAGGTTGAGATGGAGGTTTTGTGTTTTTACAATGAACTGTTGATCAGGTTTTCCATTGAGGTGTGGATGCTTCACTCAATAAACTCCTGCTTCTGTCTGTCTTATAATGATGATGACTAATAATAAACTGTATTCAAGGAGAGGACATCGCTCCCAAACAGATTTTCTAAATTGCCAATCACGTCAGCGTTAATCAAAATGGACAGTAGCTATTTAAAAAAAAAAAAAAATTGCAGACTTATAAATCATGCCATGCCAAATGTGTGTGCACTTATTAAACTTTAGCCTCATGAATTGGATGTTTGAGTCAGTTTGGTAGCCTAGCAACCAACCTTCCTTTTACGTAAAATGTTTTGTAGCTTTGGTATGTTGATGCAGCCAGAGAGATTTGATGGTCTACATCAGATGGTAACACCCAAAGAAATCAAAAATAAGACAAAGCAGGGTCTGCTTGTGACTACATTCTGATCAACATGTTGCTGCCATAGCCGCCTGATAATCAGGATAGAGGCCGATGCGTATGGACCCTCTCGTCCAAATATTGTAACATCTGGATCAAAAGCACTATAAGATGGCAACAGCTAAAAAAAAAAAGTGAAATGGTTTCTTTAAAACAGTGATCAACGAACTGAAAGGGCGAACTTCCAATAGCTAAGTCAAGTCCTTCCTGAAGTCTTTTAGTTGGACACCAATTCAACGTCTCCACTCATCTGAACCATGAATTTAAGAGCGTCATTTTCGTAAATCCAGGATGGAATAAAACTGCTGAGTATGTTGAAAAATGACTCTAATAAGTGTCCACACCAGGAGCTTTGTTTGGACTCTTATGTGATGAGATGTGGAAATAACAAAGCAGCAGGTTCACATCCTGATGTAGCACCTCTTATTGAATCCATTTGACCAGTGACTGTGTAAAGGTGGAAACATTATTAGAGCAGTAGCAGCTCTAAGAGAGACTGCACCTTTGTTTGCACTACGAGGTGTTGGCTGTGATCCATCCAACATGACTCGACTTTGACTTCTCCCTGAAGTAAAGAATCAACTTTCATTGATACCAGAGGAACCTCTAACGGTCAGAGCTGCGTTTAATCGTGACTCATAGCATTGACCAAGAAAAGTTGAGTAATGATTAAAAGAGAACAAAATACATGATGCAGTGAGAAATGTTCAGCCTCCTTTAAATGGACTTTTTAAAGGAGGATTCCCAGCTTATTCTTGATTTACTTTATAAAGGCTGAAACACGACAAACCTTAGTGACTGTAATCCCACTTTTAGTGGGATGGCACAGGTAACACAGAATAAAAAAAAATAAATCACAAACAGAAATAAAAACAGCAGGAATCAGAACAGCTTTAAATTAAATGTCAACATGTGAGTCTAAAGAGCTTAAAACCAGGGAGTTTAAAACATCTCTGATTTAAAAAAAAGGGGGGGAAAAACATCAAAATAAGAAACAGATACTGGTAAAATAAAATAAATTGTGTCTAATATATTACATTGAACAATCTAAAAGACTTTGATCGTTAAAGAAGTGGTGTCGCCTTAATACGGGGCTCAAAACAGCAGAGGAGACGTCATTCACACACACTCAGAAATGCCGTATATATATATATATATATATATATATACAACAAAACATTCAAACACAATCAAACATCCTGCTTGCCTTCCAGCTCAAACACTCACCTCTGGAACATTTGTCCCACAGATATTAAAGGAGAAGGATGAATGAGTAAGAGGAATATTCATGAGGACAGAGAGACGGGGGGGAAAATGAGGAAAAGGAAAAGATGAATGTCCATGCAGGTGTTCAGGTGCCGTCTCTCTCTTTTTTTTTTTTTCCTTTTGTAGTGTTATGATGAGAGGGACAGGAAAAAAACAGAGGCAGAGAGGGCGACAGACGGATGGAGAGGACAGCGATGTAAGCTCAGATGTAGGTGACAGCACCTTTGCTGTTTTTCTCCAGGGTGATGTCTACGTAGGAGGTGGGGACGTAGCCTTCCTCTCCGCTCTGCTTCCTCGCCCTCGTCCAGCCGTCGCCTTTATCCTCCTCGATGATGTACAACACCTGTAGGAGAGGAAAATTTGTTAAAGAACACAATGTGCTGCATATACAGATGGAAAACACATCTCCACCTCCTCCTGTTGAACAAAGATGAAGCCAAAATACCCCCCCTGACGGGCGCTGACATATGGTGCCATTTGAGTCTGTGCAATAGGGATCAGCTGCAGTATCTAAGGGCGCACTCGCACCAGGCAAAGTTGTTCCGCACATTTTTACATCATCAAACATTAACACTAAACATCATGGGGAAGTGAACACTTGGGCGTCAACCAGGATGAGAAGAACAACTAATAATGACTGAAACCAAGTTTGAGAAAAATGCATCTGACAAGTGTATCTATTATCCAGTTTGACCCATGTCCCATCTGTTAACATGGAGGAGGCGGAGCTTATGACATGTACTGCAGGCAGTCAGCAGAGGAAGCTCCAAATGTTTTGGCTTCACTTTTGGGGTTCTGTCAAGTCCTCCATCTTCCATACAGTCAATGTAGTGTATAATTATTTTAAGTTTAGTGCTAATTTTTTCTTTTTTTGTGTTGTTTCATCTCAAAAAAATACAGTTCATGTGCATTAATCAAGAAGCTGGTTATTAAAATATTAACTCAACTGAATGACAAATAGCAAATGAGCATTACCTCGTCCTCTGCCATCACCAGCGTCCCCTCGTTCTGACCTAAGAGTCAGAATAACAGTGAAGTTAGACACACACACGGCAGGGTTTAGTATTTGACCTTGACCTCCTTCCCCGACTATTTTGGGGAATTTTGATCGGTTCATAATTTCTAAAACGTCTGTGATGTTTGTCCTCACCATCAAAGGAGTAGAGTGCTTTGCAGTGTCCGATAACGGGCAGCGGGTCATCATCGTCGAACTCGTCGTCAAACTCGTGCGGGTCCATGCTCGGGCGTCCGGCTGGTGGACTTTTGGGGCGGTGGTGAGGTGTGTGATGCTCCTGACTGGTGTCGTCTGTGTAACTGCCTTCAGGACTGAGGGGGGACACGGGCAGCTTTGATTATTCTGACTCTTCATGTGGTTGATAATGTTTTCAGATGTCATCCTCGTGCTGAGTAGTCTCTCTCTCTCTCTCTCTAATCTGTGTGTGTCTGTTTACCTCTCTCGGCCTTGAGGAGCGTGATGATGGTTGTCAGCGCTGTGTCTTCTGTCTCCTCTTGAGCTCTGCTTTCCCTCCACCTCAGATAACCAAGTCTGACAGCAGAAGAAAGCGCAGACGTTAATATAACGTGTAATACTATGTGGAACTGCAGTGGACGCCATCATAACGGGCCCATTTACAAAAGGGGGGCCCCCCCTTTCGTACCTCGTTTTTGTGGATTTCCGAGCGCAGCTTCTCCATGTTACATATGGTCTCGGATATTTTGGGCTGAAGGCTGCTGGGGTCTCCCATCTGTGGATTCTTCTCGTACACATCCTTCATTTTGTTCAGGGCGTCTCTGAAAGACGCAAACACACATGAACCGGAGTCAGTGGGATTGATTTGATTAAAAAGTAGGTTGTTTAGGAACATGTAGAGGTAACATACAGGCGCTAACTCTTAAGATTTAACTTTCTCATTACTTTCTTGTCACCATGCAGAAGCACAGCTGCTTTAGACTTTTATTTTTTTGTTGGAAGTCTTTGCTTCAATCTTTGCTGTGACTAAAGGCTGATGAGATTAAAATAAGGCATGTAACTGGACTGGTTGAAGATGTTTTACCCCTCCTCTGAAAGTCTTCTTCTATCTGGTGGACGTAGCTAGAAATGTAAGCCTCAGTGCATCATTAGCATGATAATGATCAGCCAGATAGTTTAGAACTGAGAAGCCTTTCTGAGGAGAGGGGAAACATCTTCAAGATCTTCAACCAGTCCAGTTGCCTTTGGATCAAGCTTAGAATTTACAATGACCTGGATGACTGAGAACCTACACAGACAAGACATGAAAACCTGAATAAATATCGCTCAGATCGTTTATTCTTGCTCTTGACTCTAAAAACCTTTACAAATGTTGTGCAGACAAAAACTGTAGTGTTATGTAAGACCTAAAAGCAACATGACCGGTAGATAACTTACAGCTATTTGTTGGCTTCCAAGGAAATATTCACAGAATTTGACAAAAAGTTTAGAGGCTTAAAACAGCAAACTTTAACTTGAATGCCAGATCCACTAATTCTTGACTTTATTAGATCCAGAAAAATTGATCAAATCTATACAGCGGCCTCAGTCTGCCTGTGTCTACACAGGATGGCGTCAGGCCTCTTTATTTATTGTAACCGAGTTTTGGAAGCACTTAAGAGTCCACTACTCAATCACAGTAACCATGCACATATAAAAAGGAAGGAAATAGACTTTTAGCCTTAAAAAATACCTTTTGATTGGTGCTATGATGTGAGATGAAAGATTAAAATACTTCAGCATTTTCTCATAACTCCTAATTTTGTCAGATTGTTCTGCATGTGTGATGATGATTGGCACTATGTGATGAACTACGGGTAAAGCCCGACCTCTGATCCATCTCTTTCTGAAGCTCTTTGTTGAGTTCATCGATCCTCGCCTGCAGCCTCTTCCGCCTCTGCTCGGGGGGTAAGTGACTGAAGTCTTCCAGAGACGGGGCCTGGTGGAGAAGAAACAGAATGCAGATTTCTTAAAACTACATGCCGACTCAAAGTTAAGTAATGAGCAGGAGAAATCCCAGGAAGATAAAACACAAGGAAAGGGAATGAATCTATGTTTCTGTTTGAGGTGTGGAGGGGTGTACTGAGCCGCTGCTGCCTTGAGTCCTGACCTGCTTTTAACTAAGCGGACACATCAAATCAGCCTTTTCGTATCCTGCGGTGGACTGAAGCGTTGGTTGTGCACGTCCTCAGAAATGAACGCTACACGTCCGCGAGATGCAGTATGCAATATAACCACTAGGAGGAGTGTAGAGTTACATGGTGATGAAACCGTAAACAACAACGTCTGAGACACCAGAGAGCCGCTACAACAATGGCAGAACGTCTTACAGAAAAGTTAACAGATCGAGTCCGCGACTACCCGCACTATGATGCGTCATTGCCGTTGCATAGCAACAAACGTACATGCCAAAGTAGCGGGCGACAGATCATCTCCAGAGGAATCCTCCAGTAACAGGCGGTATACAAAGTCAAGTTTGTGAACATTTATGTTGCGACGCAGCGGGTTGTTTACACATACACGTGGTTCAAAAGAAAGTATTTTTTTTGCCTTCAGCATGATAACAAACTTTCCATATAATGAAACTTTTTAGAACGACAGTCTTACTGAAATGATCGGAGGAAGGACTGTTTCATAAAAAAAAGAAACAATCCCCTTTAGTATTGATGCTCAACATTCAGAATGACTGAACATCTCAGAAACACTAAAGGTTAAAAGTTAATCTATCACCTTGGAAAAGGCGTTTGTGGTGAGATTACTGACAATTTGAGTCAATAACTGATGCTAAATAAAAATGATATTAAATATTTGGATATTGCTTTGCAGGTTTCAAGAATTCAAACCAATAATGAAGATCCTTCTTTTTGTTCTTATCTGCTCAGATTTCTCTTTCTGTGACAGTGTCTGATGTTAAACTAAACAGAAGCTAGCATTAATGCAGAGGAACTGTTTGTACATGTGTGAGCTTGGGGCAGCTAGTGTGTGGAGAGTTTTATAGATACTAGGAGGGCAGGAATGTTAACTAACGAGGAAAGGAGAAATCACTACTGGACACTATGAGGAGCCTTACTTAGTGAGGAAGAACTACAGCTACATGTTGGGGTCTCTTCTGAACTACTTTGCACACACACACACACACACACACACACTTACCATCTTTACCGACCACTGACGCATTAACCATTAACAGTGAAAAAAAAAAGACAAACAAGGAAGCTGGTTAGATGTAAGTATGAAAAAAAAAAAAAAAACAGGCACACGAGCCGGTCGGTCAGCATGATGACAACACACACGTCGATGTTTTAAAACCTCCATGAACATCTTACAGTGGCCTGACTATACTCTGATCAATAAATGATTTGTACACTGCGAGGTCTGGTTCATCCTCTTTGATAGCTTTCTGGTGTATTGAGTTGAGCAGTGAGAGGCGCACTGATAGCCTAGCGGTTTATCCTGCACCCCCTTGTATGGAGGCTAAAGTCGATTTCAACCAAAATCTTAAAAAGTGTATCTGGAGAAAATGACCAACCCTGCCTTTCAATTTGACAACTGCTGAAGACTGCTGATAGCAAAACACCCAATTGTGATGTAATCAAAAAAGGACTTCAAATAAAATGCATTCCTGATTATAAGGCCTCAAGGATACACACATTTCCTTTAGTAGGAGATGTGAAAATGTCTTATGTGTGCAGAAAAAAAAAAACCTCCACATTGCTCTTGTGACTGACGTTTGCACACTTTTCAGACTTTTCCAGTCAGAATATTTCTAATCTATATAATGATCAATATGCAGTGAGTATCTGGTTATTTATCAAACTAAAAAGTTGACACGTATAGTTGTTTTTTTTTGCTTGTTTTGAGGTAACTATTCAGAGGAAGCCAGACAGAAAAAAGCTGCTAATCATAGATATCCCTGACAGAACGGAAACAAAAGCCGGTGAAAGCGCTGGCTTGGCACTGAGGCCGGTGTTATTATCATGTTTGTGTTAAAAGTGTGTGAAACCAGAACATTCATACCGACACCGTAAGAAGAGCCAAACACAAAAGCACATTTAAACACACTGAGGTCACTGCAAACTGGAAAAGACCAACATCAGAAAACCGTCCTGATGTTGGTGACACATCTCCCCAACACAACACCGCAACCAGAAAAACAAACACACACACACACACACACACACACAAACACAAACCATCAATTATCAGGGATCCTCAGTCTTGTGATTGGAGCACAAATCCGTCTGATAAACGAAGAGAGAGAGCGAGGAAAACAATCCCACAAAACAACAGAAATTAGAGCCAAAAGAAGAGAGGACGGGGTGTCTGCAAGTTCTGTTTGATTCAAATTAAACTGTTAATCAAATCAGAGCTTCTGACACTTTTTAAACTCTTTCCAGAAACTGCAGAAACCCCGCAGGAGAAACCAAAATTAACCTGTAGAGAAACAAACACTTCACTAATGTCCTGTCTCACCCCTCTCCTCAGGCCCCTCAAATTCTGGGGGATTCTGGGTACTGTGGTCTTTATCTCAGACAGATAGCTCACTAGGTCAGAGCCGAACCGGGGCGAAGGGAAAATGTTGGAGGTGGACCGGGGACGGGAGGAGGTGGAGGAAGATGATGATGATGATGGGGGTGGAGGAGGGGACGAGGAAGGGGACTGATGGGAAGCAGGGAGAGGTAAAAAAAACAAAACAGGGAGAGGTCAGGATGACACATTCTTTGGATTTGAATTTATCATAAATATTTCTCATTTCTAGCTCTAGGGGAAGACGAGTGTGTGCGTGAAAGTTGGCTTCATCGTTTATGTGGTTTATTACCAACATTGTTCCACTGAGTCATAAAAGAGTTATACGAGTGACTCATGTTAGATTTAGCTTCACAGAGTCGGAGACGTTTTATGACTCCAAACCCGACTCATTCAAGGTTTTATTGATATTTCTTCTAAGTCCTAGGACCTCAGCAGGCTGTGAGCTGACGTTGTTGTTGTTGTTGTTGTAGTGGCCACGGTTGGTACTGCAACACCATATGAAACTTTAAAACTCAACAATAAGTAACTCTGATGCATCACAAAAATCTAGAAATAAACATGTTTTTTTTTTTTTTTGCTTTACAATAACATCAATTTTCAGCTGAAGTTAGTTCATGTCTGGTGCTTCAGCATTAAAGATTGTCCTGAATTTCCTCAGTGCTCTTTCTTTAAGTTCACAGTGGGCGGGGCTTGTGGGAGAATAAAGTGTTTTTAAGTACTCCCAGTCAACAATGAGAATTTAGCGTTTATAAAAATTACTTCAAGATAAGTTTTATTTGCCTTCGATCCTCACCTACTGAAGCTGGATTATCTTGTGGTGTTAAGGAAAACACTCAGATTTGAAGGCAGGGACACACCTAATAATCCATCACACGGGATCGAGACAGTGAGAGGTAGCTGATGACTGTAACATAAACCGAGCGCAGAGAGTTAATGATTGACCGTCGTGCTCTCTTTATGAAGAGGGGCAAGGTCCAAGGAGTGTATGGGAGGAACGGTGTGAACGTGTTATGTGGGTCAGAGGAAGTTTTGAATAAATAACTTGAACAGTTTGTGTTTCTGGGATAGACAGCAGGAGTAGAGGGACTCTGTGGGGAGGTCAGGATGTTATTAATGAAGCTGATATTCAGCTGCATGGTGGGGGATTCCCTGCAGCACTGAGGATAATAAGAAGGTGTTAATATGATTATGAATAAATAAATTAAGACCCTAACAAACTAGAATCAGCACTGTTAACTCCTCTGGTACCTTTGGTTTCTTCCCAAACAGCCACAGCTTGTTCTTTGTTCTGTTCATGGGATGTTGTTTAAGATCGGGTCGTGTGCCCGGGCCCCCGTCTCTGTCTTTCTCTGCTTTGGGCGTGCTGCTGATGGTCCCGTCTGAACCCGTCCTGCTCAGGTTCTGACTGAAGTCCTCGAAGGGGAAGTCGCCCGGCGGGTCGAAACCTGACTTAAATGACTCCACGACAATGGCTGAATCCTGCGGAGAAGAGAGAGAAAGGAGAAACCAAACAAGTAGAATAAGTCCTACAATCGACATCCAGCCTTCCTCGACTCTCCTCAGAGGTGCAGCTTGTCATCAGGCAAGGCAGTAGGGAGCCCTCCAACCAGTGTTCATCACCATTATGTCTGCCAGCCCACATTTACTCCTCTTCTTCTTTTTTCTTTTCCTTTTCTTCCGATAGACAATTAAATTCCTCTCCCTTTTCCTTTGGTGACTTTCATTGACAAACTTAGCATTCTAACTGAAGCCCCAGCAGACTCTAGAATCGCCCCTGACTCTCCTCTCAAGCCATCACCCACAGTCTGTTAAGTTGAAGCCTCTTTATTCTGGACCGTTTCTAGCTTTTTTGCTCGCCTTTCTTACTACCGTCCTCCTCCTCTCTTCTACATACCTTTCGCTCATCAACAGCTTTGGCGGCAGAAACCATTCCCTCGAGACATTTGGAGACGATGGGAATGACTCTCCGCTCAGCCTCAGCAAAACATCGGTACGTCTCCCCGAGTTCACCGTCCGACGTTCGTCCATGTCCTGCAGATTCTGTAACACAGCAGCAACCTTCTTGTTCATGTATTGTTTGTTTTTATTTGTCTGTATCTGCCTAGCCCATGCTAATGTCCTGTAAATGTGACATGACTGTGGTTTATGTTTCATGTTCTGCAGAACAGGAACCTGCTGGAAACCAGTTTTTAAACTGAGTCAGGCCCGCTAAACTGCAACTTATTGTTACCTTTAAACTTTCCTGTATAATAAATGGAAAATTAAAAATGAAAGTACTCTAGATGTGTAGACTTCTCCCCTATAGTAGGCGCCACACACCCAAACAACCAGACACAAACACAAGCAGCAGTAAATCACAGCTTAATAATTCATAAACAGTCTTGAACCCACTATCACAAAGAAGCTAATTACCATCAGGTTGTAAATAAATACTGGACAGTTTTGGTAAATGGACTTGAGCTTGTAAATTGGTTTTCTAGTCTTCTGACTGTGGTGGTCACTGAATCTGAATATCAAAAATGAGGGACATTAACGGCGTCGACCAATCTGTGAGTGTGCTAAAAGTCACAACAAGACAATGAAGTTGTGTCACACATGGGCGTGAAGTCTGGGTTTAACTCGTTGCTTTACCTTGAAGATGTGTGGTATGGCATTGTTGAAATGTTTCCACTGCTCTGCGTTGAAGTTCTGGAGTTGAGCCGCGTACTCGTTTTTACTCTCGTCAGCCATGTGGGTCCGCAGGTAGAACTGGGCTTTGGCCTGAACAACATGGACATGAGCACAAATGTTAAGAGCTGATTTAGCTGGAGCCGCAGTGAGCACGTTTCCGTCCAGAGAGACCACACAAGAGAAACTGACACAGTATTGTTCTTTAAGACGTTCCTTCAAATGAAGCTGCTAAAAGCTAATGCTAGGATAAAAGAGAGGATGCTGCATCTGATCATCTTGTTTTAAAGGACCAAAACTTACACAATGTGCCCTGGATTTCTTACTTATTAAAACCATGATAGAGTCTGCTTATTCAAATCTTCTCATTCAACTGAGCATTACAGTTGTCGTCACTAATTGTGGCTGCTCCCGACTCGACAACTGAAATATTTAAACAAGAAGCAGCAGCGTCGATTCACATTTAGTCAGATGAATCTCTGCAGATCTCTCTTTTAGCTGCATCATTGTACAGAGTTACGCAGGAGCACAGGCTGTAAAAAGTACAAAAAGTAGACAAAAGACAACGAATCAGAGGGCGTTTTTCAAAAGGGTTTAACCAGACTTTTTGGAAACCTAAACAGACTTGATATCAAAAAAAAGGTAGCAGAAAGGAAAGCAATGTGCATTACTCAGGACCCTTCACCCTTCACCACTCGTTTCAGCTGCTCCTCTCAGGCCGCCATTTCAGAGTATCATTGGCTAAAAAGTAAACGTATCCCCACTGCAATACATTTTAAACAATGCTAGATAAACTCTACTTTTACCTACTGATGGGATTGTATGTGAGTCTAATGTGTGTGAATGTCTTCATGTTATTTAAGCCCCAAACCAATGGTCATTTTCTGAATCTCTCCGATTCTCTCATGGGTGGATGCAGGGCTTCAGATAAATTATGAAGTGGAAAATGTAATTAACAGGGAAGTAGCTGGCTGGAAATGTTTCAGAATTGATGCCTTTTAGCAACCTTTAACCCTCTTTATGAGGTAAAGTATGAGCTTCCTGTGAGCTGTTTCAGGGTCTGAGTTTGGTGCTAAAATGACAAAAATTTGAAATTCTATCTTGGTGACGATACATGCAAATAAATAAAAAATCAGCCCTATTTCTAAAAACATCTCCTTTTCTTTGAATACTCAATAATTATACATGTTTCTTTAAACGTTATATAAACAGTAACTCGTCTAAAAACGATGTGTACTGGGCTGTGTTTTAACCTCTCGAAGGTTTATTTTCCTACAAGCTCGAACTTAATCCACCCGGTCAAATTATACAGTGTGTGTGTTCAGGGGAAAAGAGGAGCTGCAGTGTAATTTTATAGGCTTCAATTACACACTGCTGACTTTGAGCAAACTACGGTCAAATGAGTGATTCTGTTATCGTGCTGTGGAACTTTAAATAATGACTTTACTGTACTACTACTACTGGATCAAAAAGTCGCACCGTATCATATTGACGCCTGTCCCAAATAAAGACAGGGTCATTTTCATAGGCTGAAGTAAATAAAAGCCTGGGCTAGTAATTGAAGTTTTACATTATTTATGTGTAAAATCATCATGACTACCATTTAAAGATACAGTGCATCAGTTATCTATGGACAGAAAGTAAACACTCATTATAAAAAGGGGGAAGTTGAGGAGACTTTATCATTTCCTCCTTACCTTCTCCACCTCAGATTTGGTGGCGTTGATGTCGTTATCTAACCGATCATAGGTGATCTGCGATTTCTCCGCTTCTTTGCACTCTCTCTCGAACTTCCTTTTACTCTAAAAAAATAAATAAAAAAGAAACAAACAAGGAAGAAGAAAGAGTCAAACAAAAAAGCCACAAAGAAGAGTCTTTATTCCCTTTTTTTCATTACATCATCACTTTCTCTAGTTCCAGTTTTTTCAAAGAGTTCACCAGATAATTTAAAAAAAAAAAAACATGTGAATGAAAAAAAGTTAGAAACGCCAACAAGGGAGATGAATCACACGAGGAGAGATAGTTCACTTCCTGCCAGCCCATCTGGATGACATTAGTATTAAAGGAAACACAGGGAATAGCTTGAGACAGTCCAGTCACTGAACACTCACGTTAAAGTCACGCAGACCACATATTGAAACACTTTGTGTCACACACGACTCAAACAAAGGACAAGAGGAAGGAATACACTGAGACTGGAGATTCAGTCGTCTTCAATCTATCAAATCGAGGTTAACCATTAGTCAGTGATTTATTCTTTAAAGAATTTAAGGAATTTTTATTCTCTAAAAAAAAAAAAAAAATCCAAGAATTGTGTTTTAGGGTTCTTTCTAGTGTTGTAGTACACAAGACCGGAGTGCTTGGAGACCGAGACTACACCAAGACATTTAGGGTAAGAGATCAAGACTAAGGCGTGGCCAGAACGAGACAAGATCAAGACCATAAATACAGATGAAAAATCATCTTGTGTGCAGCAGGCATGTCACCCACTTAAGACCGTAACACAGGGTAGGTTGCGGCCGTAACCAGGCGATAAAAATCAATTATGAACGAATTAAAGTTATTTGTTCTTCGGTGACCTTTCATTCAGAAAGAGTTTGCATTCTAATCACAGAAATGACATGGAAAAATAGCAGATCAGTGGCGGTCTTGACCGGTCTTGATTTAAAATCCGGAGTCCGCCCAGTCTGAGACCGAGACAAGGCCGAGTAAAAATTAATTGGAATCCTGAGACGAGACCGAGACCTTCACAAAGTGGTCTGGAGACAGGTCTTGAGACTAAGACTCGATAAGATTTTGAGCACTACAACACTGGTTCTTTCAATGTATCGTCTTGTAAGATGTTTATTTCTTCATCTTTGTGTTCGCTTATGACTTTATAACCTGCCTGTGTTATTTTACTGCCCTTCTAAAGCACTCTGTAACTTGGATTTTGAAAGACTGCTCTCTAAATAAAGGTTATTATTTATTACTAGTGTTATAAGAGGTTGTTGTGAAAAATGCAATCGACCCAGATTGTCCTAATCCGTGCATCTCCAGTTAAAACGGATTTCATGACAGACTTCCTTTTTAACCCACAGCGAGTTGGACTTCATGTTCCCTTCCAGTGGCCTTTTTGGTGGTAAGATTGCCACTACACTTCATTTAATGTTTGATTTCATTTAAATTTGACGCCTCTTTTATTATAGTGTTGTGTTGTGATGAGTAACCTGGCACCAGAGTCTCCTTCAAAGTAATAAAGTTCTACCTTATCTCATTTTATTGGCTTAAAAGCTTTTGTTAAGTATCAGAAATGCCACATTTGTCCCTTCACTAAACACTGCCGTGGGGAGTAAGGAGTTAAAAGTGGATCTCCCTTTGTCCTGAAGTCACCTTTGTTAGCATTTCTTGAATTCCTTAAAAAACAAACAAGACGAGCCAGCTGGCGACTCCCAGCCGAGAACATTTACATTAAACGCTTAATTTCTTCTCTCCATTCCTTCTCCCTCCCCCCTCCTCCTCCTCCTCCTCCTCCTCCACACTTACATTGTCCATCTGTTTCCAGCAATGATCCAAATACTGCTGGGCCTTCCTGCCCTCCTGTAGATGCTGCTTACACACACAGACGAACATACGTACACAAACACAGACACAGGAACACGGGAAAAGACACATAAATAGTGTGTACAGGAACACTTTCATACACACATGCACAGAACGACTGGACTTTTTGTCATTTGTGTTACAGTGACATACACATGAAGACTCCCCTGGAAGGAAAAGTGCTGAGGCCGCAGTCACAGATTTACAAGAGTCCTGTGACTGAAGCAGTAAAATAAATGTGAAGAGAAAACGAGCGAGTTATCACAGAAGCAAACCTTTGTGATGACAGTGATGCATTCCTGTTTTAGAGGAGCACACTCTCTGGTTTAATATTTTTTTAAACCCATCAATTGAAAAAAGAAATTTAAAAACAAATGACCCCAGCTCAAGGTCCAGAGCGTCCCCCATGTTTCCTCATCAGTGGACAGAGGTGTGAGTTTTAAAGGAAATGGATCTGACAACATGACAGGTACATGCCGTGGTGAAAAGCTCCAGGAAAAGCTAAAAGAAGACCTCAAGTTTGAACTGTTTCAAATTAAATGCTCCAGGAAAAGCTAAAAGTAGACATTATGTTGGAGCTGTTTGGACTAGTAGGGTTGTCATGACACCAGAACTTATGATACTAGTACAAATCTAATGATATTGATATCTGAGCTGATACCAGAAGTTGAAGTCCTAGGATCACAATGGAGTAATTTCTTGTTTTTAACAACCAGAAAAGTCAGTCAAACTCCTGCACACTGTTGGCAATGCTACAGTTCTCTATCTTTAACAGTTTGAAACAGTTTCTAAGATTTACTTTATTGATCCACGCAAGGGGATATTTCAGTTTTTACACTCTGTAAGTCATGAACACACACATTGGCTGAAACATACACATGCACAAACAGGATCCTATGGACACGCACTAATGGAGAGAAGCCAGAGTGTTTCAATGGCTGATGGTGGGGAGGGGGTTCGGTGCCTGGCTTAAGGGCACCTCGGCAGTGCTCAGGAGGTGATCTGGCACCTCTCCAGCTACCAGACCAACTTCCATATTTGGTCCGCACCGGGACTTGAACCGGCGACCCTCCGGTTCCCAACCCAAGTCTCTACAGACTGATCTACTGCCGCCCATGAGTTTTTCCAAAACTTTGGTAGTGTGTGATACAATATTGATCATTCAAAGAACAGGTACATTTTAATGGGATTTTCTTAATGCTACTACGGCATGAAACAAGAAGAGGGCGCTGTTCTTCCAGAGCACATGGATCTCTACATACTGTATTTCAGCTGCATGGCCTCAGCAGATGGAGGCAGACGTAAAAGACAGATGGTCAACATCTCATCCAACATATTTATCCCCTCGAGAGAATCCATACAGAAACAAAAGCACATGAGACGACTGAGAGGATACCGAGGGCGAGCAGTAACATCCGTTACATGACAGGAGAGGAAGCAAGAAGTTTTCTAAGAAATGTGCTCTTACTTATGAAAGGATGCATTTCTGAATCACCGTCCTTGCAGCTTGTGTTTCACTTTTCATTCAGTTACACATGCAGAGAGTGGTGATGTAAGACGTCGTCAGGGTACTCACGTGCTTCCTCTCAGTTTTGAGGTCTTGGCTGTACCTCATCAGCTCTCCGTACACCTTATGAGCCATCTCCTCGGCAACCACCTCCCGCTGACCGGCAAAGTCGTTCAGTTCATTCAGTACAGAGTAGAAGGACAGACACGATGTGAACCTGCACAACACATGCACATAAAAAAACGTTATTAAGACTTCATGTGACATTTTTCCTGTATGACATGAGACTGCAGTCATACAGCGTTGATTAGAGATTCTAAGAAACATAATTAGCCTGTTTTGACTATTATATCATAGCATAAATCCTGCACAAGTTTAGCTTCAGCAAAGACTAAATCTTGCCTTTTACGATATTCAAATACAAATTCAAATTCTTATCCTGTTCTTTGTAACGATTTGCATTTTTCCAGAGAGCCCCTTTAGTCATACTACATCTCTTTAATAATAACTTACATTGCCAAAAACCGTCAGCAAGTTAGTATCTGCATGCTCATGGTCACTTTGTGTTACACACAGAGTGTAAATATTAAAGGATGAAGCCTGAGTGATGTCACCCATCTGTTCCTGCAGGGGGGCTGCGGAGCCTCATCGGCAGCAGCCGCCATGTTGGAAATCCTGTCTCAGCCTAACTTTCAGTCAACCTAACGACAGGCTGAGAGCTGGAGCTGAGGCGGGTTTTAAGATTCTTGATGAACCGTTACATCACGCCCACCTGTCAATCGCGCCCTAACTATGGATAACACGTATTGTTCGTAAAATCATAACATTGCTGTTTTAAAAAAATTCATCCCCCCGTACAGTGTGTGTCCATGATGACAATAACTAATCAGACCGATTTCATTTTTTGTACCAGGCTGTAAACATGTTAATTAATGCTGTGTAAACATCTTTTTTTTGCCTGTTGTGTGTCTGTGACTTCCTGTGTTTCAGGAGCCAGCCTCTAGTGGACACTCGACGAACTACAGGAGTCTGCACTTCTGCATTTGCTTAAGTCCGGAGGTTGCCACTTGGTTTTACACTTTATGTTATTTAATGCAATGACATCATCAGTGAGTGAGTGGCCTAAAAGAGCAGCTCACTGATCTGTTGTTGTATGGCCAAATGAATGGTTACTTGCAGATTGACAGAACATGCAAAAACACATCAAGCACAAGATTCCAGATCCTCTGAACACAGGGTCAAACATTATTTACAGCATCAAAAAATATTTAAAAAAATTGTAGCATATGGCTTGTTTTTTTTGTACAGCCTGCAGGTGTCAAATTAATCAATGAATAAAAGAGAATGAATGAGAGCGAATTGTCTGACGTTTACTGACCTCGGTTCTTCATCTTTAGAGCGTTTGGGACAGTACTTCTTCACCAAGCTCCTGAAAGGAGAGCGAGAAGAGAGAGCGAGAGAGAGAGAGAGAGCGTTGGTTAAAAATACTGTCTGATATTTTTCTGCCAAACAACAGAGAGAAAGGTACGCAGACAAGAGGCAGACAGAGACGCATGCACGAGGGAGAGAGAGAGAGAGGGGGGGGGAGAGAGGTCGGGGTTATCCTTGTTTCATGAAAGATGAATCAAAGATTAAGAACATCAAAGTCTCTGCTTCTTCACTCCTTCAGGCTCTGACAAAAAAAGACTTCAGTAAACAATCGAGTTCAAGATTTTACTAGAAAGCCGAGACATTTTTGTGTGTCTGTCTGTGTGTGTGTCTGTTTGTGGCTTCATGAATTATTCTCCACATGTATGTGTAAATGTTCAAACATCCACAAACACACAGAGCTCTATCTTTGATCATTCCGCATTGAGCATGAGGGGAGTCCCCCTCTTTGAAATGAAAAAAACAACCGATTTAGCTTGTTGAATTGTCTCAACACGTGTTTAAGAATTGGATTAAAGCCAAACTATAAATACATTAAAGTAGCAGTCATTTTGCATTTCAGTATTTATCTGACTTCTTTGTGTGTTGAACAGAAGGTAGTGGACTGCTTGTTTGATATCTGCACCAAGATGCACCGATCCTCTTTTTTTTTTCAGTTCTGATCCGATTCCGAAACACATGTGCCGACACTGATTACAAACACACGTACAAACAGGAAGCAGCAACAAATTTGCAAATCTGTTAAAGTGAAGTGTGAGAGTTGTACTTTTGATCATGCTGAAGGAGCGGTTCCATCTCTTCTGAACGTCGTCAGGGAGACGATTTGAGGACACTTCTTTACAGTCTTCAAAGTGAGACTGTACAAGCTGAGAATGTTTAAAGTGCCCAACCATCTGTCTTGATCAGTGGCGTGGCGCCTTCAGACTGACATCAGATATATAAATTACGGCAATATCTCAAAATCAAAACGGGTATTGTGTGATTTTTGCTAGAATCAAATCTAAGCACAAGTTTTAGTTTTTACATGTTAACCTGTTGACGAAGTGCTGCTAATGTTTCAGATATACCATTACCATTTCAACTCCAGTGTTATGTGTAAAGACAGATCATGTCCCATCATTTCATGGCATTTCCGTCCAGATCAGACTTCAGGGTATGATCCCAACCTGCACATTTTACATGTCAAGTTCGCATGGAAAGAAAAGCACCCCGTCTCGGGTCATGAACAGAAACCGAAGCTGCTCTTTGTTGCTTCACTTCCCAGCTTAAAATATCTAGCTTGTCAGATTGTTTTACCCTCTCTTCTTTGGTTCGATATTCTCTAAAATGTGTGAAGTGAAGTGAAGTGAAGTCTGCCTCTAGTCTGTGCAGTCTCTCTGCCAAGACGACAAGATAGGAATATGATGGGATAGAAAAAGTGTGTAGTGTGATTCAGGCAGACATTTTTCTTTCTAGGTCACCATGCAAAACATTAAAGGAATTAAACATGATGTCGGCGAGGTCCTTTTAATGCTGAGCTTCTCTGTAACGTGTACCACTGTGCATATGTGTTAGGATGGAGAAAATATCACATCAGCAGTGGGAGACGGTTGTTATCAAACACTGAGATTTAGGGAAAAAAAGACCTGATGGCAGCGTCAATCGATTTTGTGGAAGAGAAAGAAACAGCAGTGCAGTGGGTTGGAGTGTGTGTGTGTGTGTGTGTGTGTGTGTGTGTGTGTGTTCGTACCGTAGCTGCTTGGCGTAGTTCTGCTCTATGTCCAGCCTCTCCTTGACAAACTTTGCGTAGCGCTCGAGAAAGTCGATCCCCCACTGAGTGTGTTTGTCCAGATTATCAAACTGGTCCTGAAGATGGAAAGAAGACAGAAAAAAAAAGGGAGAAACGTCAATTTAATTCAGATTAACTATGATGGGAAATAAGTATCAAATAGTACTGATTTTGCACACTTGAATCACATCTGGAAGGAGGCGCTGAAAGAAAAGCAGAGCTGCATGGAAAACTGCCTTTGTCTTTTTGACATGTTGGGGTAAAACTGCTGACTCGGCAGTCTGTCAGCCTGAATACAAGTCTCTTCTGATTCACACAAATAAAATACACATGTCCTCCAGCGAGTCACTCAGGGGTAAGTGTGTTTCTTGTCTGGCATGTATGAGTCTCATATAACACACCAAATGTACACCCACAAATGAAATACATGACATGCAGATTCAATTCACAGTGGGCGTTTATAATGAACAAAACATTGAAATTCAATCAAAGAAAAGTTAGAAAAATGTTGGTTTTGCAGGCTGATATACTTCTTTACAGACAATGAAATCAGAATCGGACTAAATTGGAATATATGGATCTCTATCACATAAAACATGGTTGCCGAAAGATAAAGAAAACTAAATAAACATAGCAACGATTATCACGCAATATAGAAAACCTTTGTTGTAAAATGTTCAATGCAGCGCTCTATTCCCCAATGAGACAAATCCACACCTGGTGACACACACACACACACACACACACACTTATCTGTTGCCATCTGTGGCTGGTTTCTGGTCATTTAAGTGCTTTGTTTAAAAGCATCTCAATTGTGGTAATAAGGAAGGAGCAGCTGCAGCAGCTTTACTCTCGATTCTCCCACCAGACTGGAGATCAAATCTGTGTCCTTCCAGTTCAAACCTAACATAGACCACGACTACCCACTGACTACAGAACATTTCTGTTTCTGTGTTTTAATTGAAAAACAACAAAAGGGTCCTAGTCTCAGTCAGCATTGTGAAACATCAGACGGGTCAACACATCACCTGTCCTGTGCTGGAGGTGGAGATAAGCCACTCCTCTCATTGACACGGCAACAGAATCATTACGTCTGCGTAGCTTGCTGCCCCAGCTACGGCTACATGTGCATTGTCTTGACTTTTGTGTATTTGTGTGCGTGTCTGAGCCAACTCAAACAGAGGCCGCAGCTGAAGCAAATAAGTGTTGCTAAGGGGAAATACGAGACAGCTGACCTGCTTGTTAGTTCAGTTATCATTTTCTCCAAATACAAAGAGTGCAGGGAGGCTGTAAGTGCAACACAGAGCGGCATTGTGTCTTCAGTCACAGTCATTGTGGGTAGGCAAGAGTGCTTAAAGAAGCAAAATCATCTGTTTGCAGGGGTGAGTGGATGAGCAGTTCTGTTGTGTGGGTGTGTTATAGCAGAGCTTCTTATCCCAAAGGACAAGGACTTGATTGCTCTACTTAAGGGTCCTCGAGCAAGACATTGAGTCTCATGTCTCAGTGGCATTTTGGTCCAGTTGAGATGGCGTCTGTTGTAAATGGCTCTGTTGTAAAATGTATATAATGAGTAAAGTATCATGGAATAATACATGAAAGTTAAAAAAACAAACCCTGATGACACTGGATTTGAAAGCTAACAATAAAGTGGATACATGGATGTAAAAAGTTAAACAAACACAAATAAGCTGTTAAAATATTTTGATTATGTGTCTCTGCATCAGCTTAATAGATATATCTGTCTAGCTTTAGTTCAAGTTGCCTTCGGCTCAGTCTTGAGATTGCTCCTTAGCTTTAAGAATGGGCCTCTTTATGTCTTATAATATACAATTTGCTCATTTAAAACACTTCTATCTTTGGTCATGTTTTCTTTGGGGGAAGCAATGAAGCAGATTTTAGTTTGCGGGATTAGATCATCGACACAGCTATCGACTAGCAATTAATAAAAATTAGTGATAGAATAATGGCAACAAAGGCAGATAGATGAGGTTGATGCAGTTGTAAAAAGTCAAAGCTGAAAAACTAGGATATCAGACTCAATGCAGTGAAACAAAGCTGCAACTCTGTCTGATTATCAGACTTTACATTTAGCTGCGTTTGTTCAGAAAACTTTAATATGAATTTAGTAAAAAAACAAATGATATTCATACCTGTTTTGATAGCACACACTAACAAAAACACAAGCTCTAGTCAATCAACATTAGCTAATTTATTGTTTTTAATTAACAGAAATTGCTGACAGACTCCTGCCTACTGTCTTAATTGCACCAATACATTTTAGACAGTGCTCTCCCTTTTACTCACAGGAAGAAAAAAAACTTGACAGTCAAAAAAGCCACCATCATTTAAAAACATTCTGACTACTGGGACACTTAAAAACATGCCACTGTTTTAAATCAAATGGTGAGGCGAAACATAGACTGCCAAAGCAGACAGCATCCACTGGTGTGTGTGAGGCCTGATTCTTTTTTTTTTTTTACCAGAGAGAAAGAAGCTGAAAAAGATCTTAGTGCTGCAAACAAATGATGCCAATTTTAAGCATACACACAAAGATTCATCGCCAAGAAGATGTGACAAATAACAGACAGTGACAGAGAAAAGCAGCTGCTCTGCAGGATGCTACACGTAAACATGGCTGTTTTCTGTTTAGTCACTATCATGCTCTGAAAACAGGCAGACTACTGTGATGAACAAAGGACCCCAACATGGTAGAACAAACCAGTTACAGACGGGATCATGTGCTGGCAGAGTGAACGGCATCCACTCGTCTGAATGAGGTCTAAGGCCAGTTTTCAGCAGAGAGAAAGAAGCTGAAAAAGATCCCAGTTCTGCAAAAACTGCTGCCAATTTCAAGCATATTTTGTCATCCAAACACTTAGACTTAGCCCCAAAAATGTGACAAATAACAGACTGCAACATGAAAGCTGTGTTTCTGCTCTGTCAGAATCAACCTGCAGCTCTGGTTGCCTCGTGTGAATGCCCGCCAGCTCGTCAGTTAGCATCCTGGCCCCTGCTAACAGGCCTGTTCACCTCCTTTTAGCCAGCGTGTCTGTCTGTGGTTGCATCAGCCTTTGTGACGGTGTCTATGAATAAGTAATGGGGTATGAGCTCATGCTGTAGTTTGTGGCACGCTGAGCGCAGGCTGGCTCACTGGGGGAAATGACAACATCTTTGGGCTCTGGGTAAAAAAAAAAGAGTGGGAGGAGGAGGAGGAGGAGGATGATGGTTTGAGCAGAGCTGAGAGAGTCTGGTAGCCCACGCTGCTGCAGCACCTGCACTGTAACTGAGCCTCTACAGGAAGTCATCCAGGATCTGATTTTGTCTGGCATCCAGGCCTCCCAACTGTGGAAGTATTATGTCGTAAAGGTCAGCAGATGCTAACTTGCTAATAATGAAAGAGTGGCCCGACACATATATTCCTATTGGGTCAGCAGGTATATTTGTTTTCCTTCCTAATAAATCTAGTAGAACGTTTGGCATGGCCAGTTAAGCCTCCAGCAAATTCTACCGAGGCTTTTGTGATCTTGCATGCAGGATTTTAAATGCAATCTAATTGTGAAGAATATCTATTTTAAAAAATCTATCTGACTTTGTTATTCATTGACCAGAGCACAAGAAAAAGTGTTTAACAATGAAACTAGCCTTGACAAAGTTGTTGCTTACAGAGTAAATGGCCATTTAAAATGCTGAATATAACCACAACTCCCATTAGAGGCTCACCTACAAGTCAAGCACAGATTCAAATCTATTTTTCTGAATTATTACAAAGAAATAGTTCAACATTAACAAATGTTTACAAACACAACAATGACACCAGAGTTTCATCATCATATCAGGGGCATGGGCTACAAACTTGGCTCCTCCTAGTGGGGGTCATCGCCCCCCAGAAGCGCACTCCCACTGCAGGACATGTAGTGTTTGTCACCTGCGACTGGCTGTCCAACAGAAAGAGTCAGTGGGTGAAGGTTAACCCTCGCTTTGGAACAAGCCTTAGCTACTTTCAAGCATTGGGTCATATTCACCGGTTTGAAACGTGTAATATCACTGCTTTGTATCCTCTCCTAAACTCACAGGAGCGCTGTCATTGGCTGGGGTGAAACACACCAGCTCCTCCCTGCCCAGAAACGTCCCGAGTCCACCAAAACAAATCAGAACATGACAGGCTCTCTGCAGACACAGTCACCACACACACGTATGGAGGACCATAAGTGAGGATTGAGCAGCCTTACTTTTGTTTAAGTCCGTGTTTTATGTTTTAGGAAAAAGCTTCTTACTCTTCAGTCTTGTGTTAACCGCAAACATTAACCCCGAGCATAAAACCCATCAAAATCATTAAAAATCTTACTCTTAGGATTTATTCCTGCAACTTTGCAGCATTGATACCCTTATATTTTTGTGAATACAAAAATGATAAGATATCAGTTAGCGGTCATACAAATTCTCATCCTTCTGTACTTTCATTGTCTTACATGCAACTCACAATAAATCTTTGACGTGGACAAAATAAATAAATAGAAATGTTTCTGGCAATGTGCTGTTAATCGCCTTGCTGACACCTACCTTGTGTCAGAGTTGTCGCTATAAAGAAAAATCAATCTTGTTGCTGTTGGTCAAAATTGGTTAAATTCAGTGTGATTCAGCACCAGCTACAAACTCCCTGAATGTGCTTTTAGGACTTCACAGACATGAGGTTGTCTAACTGTGGCTCATTCCACTGTGACTGACCGATTAGATTTTGTTTCCATCTCAGATTCAAACTCAAAAATTGGGGCACAGCAGGTCTGCTTCTGATTCTTTTCTCACCCACAAAGACACCGGCGTGCCTTAATGAGCTTCGATCTCAGGGTGAGAGAATAAATTAGTCATTTAGCTCCCAGACTGAGAGCGTTGAAGTCGACGCCCTGTAACCAATCAGACAGCCAGACAGCCCCTCCTCACCCAATCAGAGAACCAGTCGGCCTGAGTGCATTCCTTTGGAGAGCGGGTAATTAGCATAGAAAATGCTGCAAGGACAAAGGATTAATTACTGAGGCATTCCAGAGCACAGTACACACACACACACACACACACACACGCA